CTTTGCATTATTTTCTGGTTCATAGCAAATACCTGGAGTTTTTTTCGTTGAGAAAAGTAATTTCTGTGTTTTATTTCTGTTTATTCACCTGAGGAGTGAGCTATTATGGTAAGAAAAACCATTCATCGCCTTCCTTCTTTGAATATTATGATATATCAAGTAGCCTGACGAGAATCCAGTTGTCAAACAAACTAAAACGAAATTTGCCAATAGTTCAGTAAACGAACAAAAAATTGGAGAAATGATCGTGCAGTCGCAATTTTTCGTAGAGTAGTAGGAGAAAGTGCTATAAACAACATACATAAAATCCTGACCCATAGGGAATGAGCGGGGCAGTAGGAAAGCTTTTCAAGGTAATTTCTTCAAGTTATTCTTGAATAACTCGGTAATCGGGGCCTCTAGTGGAAAAATGTAGATATAAAAAATTTATCGAAATGAAATTTCATATAAAAAAGGTGCCATTTATTTTTCGTTCAAAATAAATAGTTTCTGAGATACAGGGGATGAAAATATGGAGGAGTATCAAATATAGATTTCAATAAGGGTATAACATTGGTGTTAAACGTTATTATTTTTGATGAACCTTCCTAACGTTTCATTTGTTCTATATGCCACTTTTTAGTCTTGTTTATGTAGAAATGAAGCTAATTTTTCAGTTGATGATCTGAAATAGGTTGAAGTTCTATAATTTTGATTACTATTTTTGATGGTGGGATAAACTTCTTGAATAGCTTTATTGTTGAGTTTTTTAGAAAGGATACGGTCTATCAAATTAACGTTATATCCGTTGTTGTTTACATTTTCATGTTCTGGATTCGAATGGAAATATATTATCCTGTTTGTTCAGACAATACCTATATTTACACGTGAATCTATTGCCGCGCATGTATCTGCACTATTGATCAAACTATCCCAGACAAAATTATAATTCTGCACAAAACGAAACTCCAGTTCACATCGATAACAGAACTATGAATTCTGCAGTTGATTACGTTGTCAGAAATGATGTCCTGTGAGTATTTATTTATACAGAAAATATAGGACGAAATCCAGTCATTTCTTTGATACATAAATTTCCTTCATTGCTGATTTTGTTATCCAGATATATTCCAAGTTCATGGTATGGAATATTTATTGACTACCAAAGCAATCAAATTATTCTTCAACATTTACATTATTAATATATTCTTATCTGTATTTTTTATTTTCAGAAAAGCACAAGAAGTATTAGAGGAGAAAGCTAGGAGAGACTGGTACAAGAAATGGGGATTCTATCTTGAACATGACAAAGTGAATAAAATGATTCTCTCTATTATGATTTCTATTAACATCAGGATGCTTAAATCTCATATCTGTATACAATGCGTTGCATTTTTCAGGGGTTCGTACACATTATTATTCTCATGAGTTCTTGAGGCATTAAAGTTTCACTTTATCCAAGATTCACTAGAATGAAATTTCTTAAAATAGAAAATATATAGTGAAATATCTACCTTTTGCAAGTCCTTTGCTGTAAAATAACCAATAGAATTCTTCCGGATATCAACTTTTGTATTCCATATGTTTTGAATCAAACCTATTTCCTCAAAGAATTTTGCTGTAATGAAACTTCAAGTCAATCCCGGAATTGCTAATTGTATGTACAAAAATAATTAATGTAAATGGATGGAAAACAATCAGTTACGTTTCAACTAAAAAATGATGATTCTTCAATTATTCATACAGTTATCGAAATCTGCTCAATGTTATAAGACCCCCGTCAATAGAATGTTATGTTAATTTTTCACTGTAATAATAATCGATCTGCCTGTGAATTATTATGAATGATATGGTTTTCTATTCCTTGAAAATGTACCAACGATAATTATCAAAGAAATATTCATAATGCATTTCAGCTTCATTTACTTCGTCTCGTCTCATTTTCGTATCAGGAAGTTGTAATATACAGGGTGATTCACATAACAACCGACATAGGGCAGGGGCATGTAGGGGGTCCCAAAATATGGCAATTTAACGCAACTTACCTCTATACCAAGTTACTTCCCTAAGGAGTTATAGGCATAGCAGTAACAGCATGTCAAATTGCTCGTTAAAAGAAAACTTCCCGTTCATTTTAAAAACACTCAAACAACAATTACTTAATTGAACAACTCACTTGCCTCATTGTCAAGTTTGACGTTTATATATTTTCATAGACAACTTTTGAATTTTCGATAATTTTAAATAACACACCTAGAGCGCGCCTTTTCAGTTATTCGTGTTTTTGATGAAAATGATGAGGTTTTTCGAAAAATTACTAGAGTGAGAAAAGTTCTAGAATTGGATTGCCCACAAAACAAAGCAAACATTTATGAAATCCATCGAGGGTTAACAAAATAATGTTGAATATTAATGGTGCGCCACCCGGTATACCCCCTTTACAAATTTCAATTAAACTCTAGTTACTGTCAAGTAACGCCCTGAATACATCCACAAAGTGTACCCAATTTGGTTGCTTTAAGTTCAAGAATAACGAAGATTTTTTTCAAAATTTTTAACTTCACTTTCAAAGCCTATATCTCCTCAGGGAAGCAACTTGGTATAGAGGTAAGTTGCGTTGAATTTTGGGACCCCCTTATGTGAATCACCCTAGTTCTGTATACGGATCTTTTGAAGATGCTCCCTTTGTACTGGATAGCAATATTTCTAACATTTTGCTTTTCCCAGAGGAGAATATATTGAAAATGCCCAATAATATCAAATGATGAGACGTTTTCTTGAAGGAAGTGAATTAATAAATTGTCCATTCACAATTTAACCAATGAAAGAACTAATTCTCTTCTGCTGCCAATATTTCACTTCGCGTCCAAATGGTTGGTACTGGTACCACAGAATACGGGTATTCTGTGCTGGTACAGTCTGTATTTGTCGTCTGTATACAAAGGGAAGAGCAGAGGAAATTTGCGACATAACTAAGACCCTTATTGTGCCAGCTAAAGGTGAACATTGGCGTCCTCTTGAAACTTGTTTGTTGTTTGCTTCAGAAAAGTTCCTCGAAGATGGATTTTCACAGCGATTTAATGCGCACAAGACGCGTTGAAAATGTTTTGTTGTGTCCATGAAAAGGCTTTAAAAAGAACTAGGGAGAAGTTAGTTTTGTGACATATCAAGGACATCTCGATAATTGCCGCCTGCGGCGGACATTGGCTGTTCTATAATAGTTCTATCCATGTGTGAACAGAACATCGCAGTGGAGGTTCAATGTCTCGAAATCTCGTACTTTTAATATCTCTGGGATGTTCTTGTGCTCGCTGGGATAGGGCCCCTTCTCGACTTCAGTTTGTAATATACCCCAGGTAAGTAGCCGATTCTTTTCGTACGCTCGTGAAACTTGCAACGATGCACAGTGCAGCCTGGAGTTCGCTATCCAATTTATGTGGCTAACAACGGTTTACTCCCAGACACTTCAGTGCATTGCACGGCTTTTTGAACATCGGGAGCTCTTTTTCTCGAATTTAATTGCATCCACAATAACACGAAATGTCTACCGACCTCCTCAAAGGAATCCGATATCAATTTGAGCGTAATTATTTCGTAGCCAAGCGGTGTCTGTTACTTCTATTCAAGGGATGGAAGAAGTTCTATTACCGCGTTAATGAAGGAAGACTTCACGGAATATCGGTTCAGGACACAGGTGGTTTCCAATTTGAGGGTGGTGTCGTTAATGATCGTTCTTGAATTTATAGGTAGTCGCCCAGCGTCACCTGAGTTCATGAACTCTTCTTTGCTACTTAAAATTTCTGCTGCAAATTTCGACCGTCATCTGATAACGAAATGATACATGTCCAAAAGGCATGTAAAAACATTGTAGTTTATGGATCGGTACCTATGCCAATCACTATATGCCTTGATGAAATATTGCTGTGGAAAATGATACAGGGCATTGAAGTTGATTTTTTTTCGTTTTCTGCTAATAATTTCTGTTGGCGTCTAGTTGTCAGATACGCTACTGCTTAGTGGAATGTGCTCATGTCACTTGCCGGCTATCACAGACATGTGCAAATGCCGATTCATTAGTGTTCGACGTGTAGCTGAGTTTCGAACAAGAATACCTTATGTCCATCTCATATTTTGTGATATAGTGTTCACGTTTATCATATTGTGGTTATGATCTAACATCAAATCCATAGTTGTCAGATACGCTACTGCTTAGTGGAATGTGCTCATGTCACTTGCCGACTATCACAGACATGTGCAAATGCCGATTTATTAGTGTTCGACGTGTAGCTGAGTTTCGAACAAGTATACCCCATGCCCATCTCATATTTTGTGATAGTGTTCACGTTTATCATATTGTGGTCATGATCTAACATCAAATTCATTCAGGGAATATTATAAAATGTATTATTCTACAGTTTCTCACAGGGGGCGCCACGTGATGAATGATTCCTTATAATGAAACTCTTTAGTGATCTTGATTGGAAAATATGACATAAACATCATTTCTACGTATGACTCATACGTACTCTTGTGTGAACACGATATTCTTATTCGTTTGACAGAAAACGCAAATGAAAAGTTCGGGAGTTTCGGAAGGGAATTTCAAATATTATGGCATCTATGAAGAGTGTGCTTTGGACTGTCAGATAATTGTTGCTGGTGAATTACATTTCTTGTCAGTGAATAACTCCTGGTGCGTGCATACTTACTCGATTTAAACGTCCTGTATCTTTTTCCACAGCAATATTTCATCAAGGCATATTTAAATCTATCGCCATATTTTGGTATATACAAACAATCCCTCAGTGTATGTCCCTATAGTTATGATTCACCCTGTACATATAGCCAAGAGATCTAAAATGTCTCTGATCTGAAGTTCCAAATGATGCTACATCTATGACAAGTAACTTCAATATTCCAAATATTTATACGAGTGATACGGTATATTGTTGATGTCACCATATTCCTTAGGGAAATCGGGCTATTGTAAACATTGGGTTGTATATGATCAATTTTTTCAGATATTATTGGAAGAAGCTCGAAAAAATGGTTTCAAGAATGAAGAGTTTGGTAGAATAGTGAGAGAACGCAAGAGCAAAATGAATCTAGAAAATGATATATGGAAAACAGATGCAATAGATTATGTCCCTCGAACATCGTCTGGTGAGTATTATCAATATGAAATGCTACCGTTACTAAAGTAATGAAAGAATCTGGAATATTATATAACATAAATAATAATTGAGTAAATGGTACTGAATATGAGAGCATCGAACTTATATCAGAGTTCAAGCATTCATGCACCTACGTTTGGGGATTCCATCACCATACTCATGATGGATTACACTTTTACTTTTTCTCTCTACCAAGTATCCTTATATAATCCATCATTTGTCTTAATCAGTGTCCACCTCCTACTCCATTCACTATGACATGAAAAACAAATATCATAACAAAACAAAATAAATTATCATATGATCACAATCCCTCGAGCCTTCAATAAAATTTTTGTTTCCAACATCGTCACAATCTCTGTCCTATCAACTTCATATAGCATCAAAAAGTTTATGGTGTCCCAACTAAGTGGGAGGAAATGTATATGAAACTAACATATTGAGCTCATTAGAGAGTCTCCATAGCGTCTGTAACGTATCCTTTCAATAATTACGGTTCATTTCGGAAAGGAAATGAAGGCATGTCGGGAAACAATGGGCAAAGTAAATGGCAGCCCTATTGTTGTATAGAAATGCGTAAAATTACGAAAGCAGCCAGTGGAAGGTAGTTACCGAAGAAAAATGTCCGTTGACTGTGTGAGTTGACTCTGCGTACGAAAATATCGTTGAATATCGTTCATGGGATGTCTGGAGGAAATGGAAATTGCTATTGTTTCGTTGTTTTTCTTCTGCTGGATGGAGAATGTGGTTTTTCTGTTCCCTTATACAACACAACGGCCAGTAGTGCCTATTGTATAATTCATTCAATAAAGTGTGAACAGATCTCTTTACCTCCTGAGTGACCTGTTAGTTGTCAAGTCATCAACCTAAGCTGAGATCAATTGAACTCCAGGATATCAACAGTAAGAGCTAGTAATTGTTCAAAACACATAATCTTCCTGCATCTTTGACATTTCAGGAGACTCCAATATTGGCGTTGGCCTTTGTAATAATGAAAACTGGTTATGAACCTATCAATATCTCGTAATATCCTTGCTGAGGCCCTATCTGATAATCCCACCTTTGCTTCCTATCCCTATTTGTCCTGGAACCCACATAAGTTATAGGCTTTTTGCTCCTTCCCAACAGAGACACTGAGTCTTGAAGACAGGACCCTGTTTCATTGTTAATGATAGAGTGATAGAGGAAATGTATGTATAGTACAAGTGACTTGCGGTGGTATAAATTAGTTTATGTTCCAACTAGAAAACCGTGATTATGTCAAGTTGTTTGGTACCTTCTCTTCATTAATGGATGTCTCCTTAGAGAATCAGAATACGGTAAAAAAAATCATCCATCAATATTTGTTTCGTTGTTTTTCTTCTGCTGGATGGAGAATATGGTTTTTGTGTTTCCCTATTCAACACAACGGTCAGTGGTGCCTATTGTATTATTAATTCAATATAGTGTGAACAGGTCTACTCACCTCCTGAGTGACCTGTTAGTTGTCAAGTCATCAACCTAAGCTGAGATCAATTGAACTCCAGGATATCAACAGTTAGAGCTAGTTCGAAATACATCATCTTCCTCTATCTGTGACCTTTCAGGTGACAATAATATTGGCGGTGGCCTTTGTAACTGGTTATGAACACATCAATATATCGTAATATCCTTGTTGAAGGTCTATTTGATAATCTCACTTTTGCCTTCTACCCCTATTTGTCCTGGAACCCACATAAGTTATAGGCTTTTTGCTCCTTTCCAACAGAGATACTTAGTCTGGAAGACAGGACCCTGTTTCATTGTTGATGATAGAGTGATAGAAAATATGTATATATGAATAGTACAAGTGACTTGCGGTGGTATGAATTAGTTTATGTTTGAACTGATTTTTTCAAATGTTTACTGTACATTTAGTCAATTTGACGTGGATGAGGAAAACCGTTATTATGTCAAGTAGTTTGGTCTCGAGTTTGGTACGTTTCTTCCACCCATGTATATCTCCCTAGAGAATCAGAATACGATCAAAAAATTATCCATCAATATTTGACCTTGTCCTTTCCCAGTGTTCAAAGTGTTCTGCAAACACATTGCCATGAAAAATGTCGATATGAGTGAAAGTTATAACCATAATGGATTCTCTACCAGATTCTTGGTATACAAGTTCTCAGTTTTTTCGCATCGATAAAATAGCCGTAAATTCTTTCCAACTGACACTTTGACTGTATTTATGCCTTGCTTTTTTGTAAGTAATTTTCGAGCTTAATGTTATTAAAGAAGAGTGAGAATAGGTGCCTGTCTGCGAATTCCGGGATTTATAGCTATGTTTCGTGATTTATCTCGAACTATTCCACTTTACCTACGGAGAAGTGAGAAAAGGAACACAGCTCCTGCCGTTCTGTGGATATTCTCCAATCGAACTCTTGTGTAACAATGATTATTTATATTTACTGTCATTTCTCCTTTCAGACTCCCTGATAGAAACATTTGTTAAACGCAGTGACATTTTGGGGCAAATCATCTGATTTGTCCATCTACAAATATATTGAAATGATACGAATACTTTTATTTTATATAAACGTGGAGAGAAAATCCCAAAGAATCGAGTAAAATGAATGTACCACCTCCTCGATTAACCTACAGACAGTATTTATCAAATTGGTTCATTCGTTAATTTGAAATTTATGAATCCAGTTGAATTTCAGTTTCAATAAACCTCGTCATATACCCCAAGAGATACTCAATTTGTATAACAACATGATATACACGGCGTTTTTCCCACATAATATATACAAGTTCAACTACTAATGGTTCAAAAGAGTAAAACCAAAATTCACACACAGCTTTGTTTGTCCCCCGATCAGCTGATAAAAACGACGAGTGCGCCATGTTGTGACGTCAGGTGACACTGCTTTATTAACACCTTTCCTGATACTTCAAAAATGAGCTCATTCATTATGAACCATTGGCTACCCCTGTATAAAGTGCAAACGTCTACTCTACTCGTATCCTCTGGTATACTCCTCTCCTAGTTGACACAGACAACAGACCACTTAACACTTTACTCCCAATAAACAAGGCGACACTTTAATTAATAACGTTAGAAGTCGCCCATGGAACAGTGTACAATTTGATAAATGAACATCGCGTTATTGTGTACATTATGTTGTATCGTTCAAAGCTGTAATATAACATGTAATTACAGGGTATGTGGGATGGCGGAGCAACCCAAACAGCTCCCTGGAGAAATTTGGACCCCTATACATCAGTCCAAGGCACACTCTTCCTTACCAGCCACCATATAACTGCATTATACTCGGTTAGATGGGAGTTATTTAGGGGCCATTATGGTGCAGCGGAGGAGGCGCTCTTCATCTTCTTTGATGGAAATATCGGTCGTTTCACCTTTACTGTTAAATGAAAATATTAACCTTGAATAATATTATTCGTGAAGTTTTATGTTTTTTTCATCTCCATTGCTTTTTTAAATGTGTAATAGCGTCTGGCAATCTGAGTTCGCCAATGTTTTGTCATATGAAATAGTGGCATATCGAGATTTGGAATACATACATCAAGTCCTCTATGTGAATCAGATTATCGCATATTAAATTTTTTCAAGAACGTTTTCTGGATAGAACGCATGCACAATTACCTATAGGGTGAAATCGGAAAAATCACATTTGGCACCATTTTGATCCCATAACAGACTAAATTTTGGAATTACGATAACTCATACGAGATGTTTATTAAAATGAAAATCTTTGTTTCCATGGGATACAATGTGTTCAAGAAACTGTAGGTGGTTATTTTTTCAATGAATCATGCACAGGTTGTCAATCTGTGATCAATAATAATAATTTAGCGTGGTACATACATATCCGAACGCTAAAACTTTACTTAGGGATATGAGTAGAAAAAAAAATTTGTAAGTCCATTTACAAATTCTGAGGCTCTGTATCTCAAAAACAAAATTCTTTGCGACCAATAGTTACATAAGCTTTCATTCTTCAAACAAGACCTTCTATCGATTGTCGAAGTTCTGCTACTATAAAGTGGACCACCTTGTATACGCAAAGTTCTTTTGAAGATATGTTGAACATTTCTGTATCTCGAAAACAGTCAATAATTTGAGGTTTTGGAGATAAAATCATTCAGAATTGATTGAGACGAAATCATTTGCTCTCTTGCACTTTTCAAGTTACCGTGTACAGTAATTCTTGGAATATGAATTATATCAGGCATGATGGTAGTTACAGAAACATGTGGCTACAGAGTGAAACAAATAACTGATAAAATCACTGAAAATTGAGATTTTTCTATCAAGAAATAAATAGACAAAGAACAAAACAGCAATTATTCCTAAAAAGTTCAAATTTTCTTATTCTCGATCAAATCTCTATCCTCTGAACACTTTCCATATCCCTTTCGTACGTTATTTTCAACTCTTCTCAGTTCTTCTGGCGGTATCTGTCTGCAAACTGTTTATTTGTCGCAATGGGCGAGTACACCTTAGTACAACTTTGAACTCAAACCATGTTTATAATAATCCTTTTATACATAAATGATGATTGACGACATAATTCGATCGAAAAATTAACTGAAATGTTTTATTTTTGGACTTAAATAATAGTACCTTCTGAAAACGGACCCTCTTATGACGTAGAAACCTCATCTCGCCATAGTTAAAAGAAAATACCAAACGCCCGACGGAGACTAAGGCAACTGATATATTAATTCTTTCAACTGTGATCTCGCGTTAATTCACTCTGTCAGAAATCATGTATCATTCATCTCTGTCTGGAATAGTCTTGTTTCAGTATTAGGGTTTTGACGTCACATCATCGCCTCGTTTTCAGAGGTCCGAAAAATCAGGGATTTTAATAATTTTTTATAAAACGTAGGGTGCTCACAGCAAGAAACGGTTTACGGTGGTGAGCTAGTTTGGGTGAGTTCTATCGAATTATGAAATAATTTTTTTTTGTGATATAAGCCCATTAACTTTTCCCTATTTCGTGTCCTCAATTTTGTAAACCTTGCAGGAGAGTTGGAACTAACGTACGAAAGGGAAATAAAGTGTGTAGAGAATAAAGGATATTCGATCGAGAATACAAAATTTTGAACAGGTTAGGAATAATTGCTGTTTTGTACTTTTTCTCATTTTTTTTTTGTTTCTATGCATAATTCTTGATGAAAGAAATTTTAATGTTCAGTGATTTTATAAGTTATTGAGCTCACTCTATAGTCCTATGTTCTAATCCTGACTACGATCATGCCTGATATCATTCAAATTCTAAGAATTATTATACACGGTGACTTGAAAAGTGCAATCATTCAAAAATTGTAACGTTGATAATGAACACCCCGTATGAGATATTGTTTTTGAAAATTGATATAACAGTATATTATTATGTCCATTGCTTCTACATCAAATTTTTTGTGAAAAAATGCCTGATCCGTTTCATTCAATTTCCAAAAGTAGATAAGTAGGTACTGTGAGGAAACAATTGAAATCGCCCTAGGATTACGAAAGTTCAGGGGTGGGGTGGACCAAATTGTAACACACTGTATAAATATTTATAATAATTAGTGTATCGAAACTCATAGCCAGGTGAATATTCATCATATTGTCTCAAGAACTCTAGTCTGGTTCATAAAAAATTCCTAGACTCTTAGATTGATTCAATATTTCGATCTAGGCTGTTTTTTCGCTACGAGAGCAGTTTCTATCGAGATCTTCCAACTGTTCCATTTGCATAGAAAAACACAGCCATATCGCTCGACAAACAGGAATATCCTCCGAACGATGAATAAAACATGAATTCTTTGTAATTATTCCTGCATGTGCTGCCGCTACATTGTGGATGTGGAGTTAGCACTGAAAATGCAACTCTGCGGAGACAGCTTTTACGATCGCCGATGGTCATCGAAAAATCAAAGTGCAACTTCATATTTTCCATAGTTGCAGAATTTAGAGTATAACATTATGAAAAGTTCTGTGTGGAATGTTTGAAAAATTTTGATTTCTACCATTTCATATTTCAATAATACTGAACAATCCAATCTACAGGGTGTCCGTTTTTCGAGCTCCACCATGGAGATCTCAGTTATTATAAGAGATACGAGGTCGAACAATAAACTGCTAGCTCATAACGTCGTTCCTAATTCAAAACCATTATTCTCAAGTAGATCAGCTTGACGAAAATGTGAACGTTCCGGATCCAAATTCAAATAAACTGTCGAAATTCAGCTTGCTTGCGTTCTTTCCAGAGCACTCTTCGCAAAAATGTTTTTTTTCACAATTTTGATCAACAGGAAAGATTCGATCTGCAAAAATGCAAAAATCCAATATGGCGCCAATAAGAAAAAAACAAAGTTGTGTGTTGTAACTTTGGCATCGAGAACGTCATGAAAAATACAATGACAGATTCAGATTCCTTGCAAAAAAACTTTGCCCCAATTTAACTGACCTCGTATCTCTTATAATAACTGAGATCCCCATGGTGGAGCTTGAAAAACGGACACCCTGTATACACCGTCAAGTTCGAATTGAGATTTATTGGTAATCGAATGCATAATGGAAATAAACACAATCGAATTGATGGTGAATATTTTCAGTTTGAAAACTGATCCTGGATCCGCCGCTGTTTCTTATTTCTCTGTATATTTGGTAGTGATTTCGATATACCCGTTTGTCTGATTAAAAGACTATAATCATCGACCTGATTGAGATGAGATTACTGATGATTGAAACAATATGATACTCCAATTATCAACTTTTCAAATCGATTCTATCTAAGTCATACCATATGAGACACTCACCATCTACCATGTGATGCCTCTCGCAATAAGAAAGGCTTTCCCGATCTGTTTTCATTATAAATATACCTATCCACATTCTGGAACACCTATAGCTGTATCCAATTTCAAATCACCCGCTGTTTCTCATTCACTGAACTGTCAAACAAGACAATCCCTAAAATCCTTCAGTGTCCATGCACGGCTCATCAGGCCGTGGACCCAGCCTGATTTAAACTCTGCTCGAAGGATATTCAAATTTATACAACACTAGGAGAGCGGTAACCTTGTGGCCATAATCTCAAATTGATATTCAGTGTAACCGTTACAGGGCTCGAATCCTTTCGCAAAACGTTTATAGGCATAGCGAAGGTCCAATAGATCATATAATATATAACGGTACCTGTCTGAATAAGTTGGTGAATGAACTAGGCAGTCAGTACTGACAACGAAGCAGCAGATTCACTAGCCCGTGCTTCGAATTGTTCAAAACCTTTCTGAGTTATTGCAAAATAAGCTTTACAAAAGATGAGCATAATAGTTATTTATGTATCAAGGGCGTAAAGTAGGCGTTTATGGCCTGTAGCGTGAATAATGGCCCGATGGCGCTAGCCGAGGGCCATTACACGCTGAAGGCCATAAACGCATTTCACGCACGAGATACATACAAAATTTTATGCACTAGTGGTTCATTTTCTGACTCATATATAATGACTATAGATTTCGACAAACCAATATTCCCCAGAATTCAATTTGTTACGTATTAATTCAGTAATCAAGAGAAGCGTGATGTTTATGGATGATTTACATATAAAAATTATAGTACGAATATTGCAATTATCGTAATAGTGAAACTCTTTCAGCTCTAGAAGATATTCATTCTTCAGAGTTCTACAATATGCATACCCAGTATATAAACCTAACTTATTTAATTTTGACGTTGTCAATCAATCTGATGATTGTTGTCAATAGCAATACATCCAATAAACGAGCTGAATTGTCATTCTTTGACTGAAAAGTAAAATTAGTGATAATAATAATAGCGAAACTATGGAATCGGATAAAGAAGAAGTTTATGATATACCGCTGGATATATTAGAATCTAGGAATATCATCATAGGTTTTTCATGAATTGATATGTGGATATAAGGTGACTGATAACAGCGGGCGGTAAAGTGCACTTTACGGCCCGTGGGCCATAATGAGCCCGCGGGCGGTAAAGTGCGACTTAACGCCCGCAAAACCGGGCGGTAAAGTGCACTTTACGGCCCGCTAGTGCATAAAATCATGGATGCAAACTGAATCTCAAGAATGTCAAAACAATTTGCCAGGAATGAGAGAGGCTCAATAAACACATGAGTATTCTATATAGGCCTGGTAGGCCTGAAACATTCTTTGCCACTGTGGAAGAAAAAGCCAGGAGCCCCAAAGATACACAGAAGATCTAAGAGATAGCCTATGGAGTATCATAGAGAAGGCGGGGCTAGTATGACCAGTATGTCAAATTCTGGTACCACCATTTTCACAGAGTCCACTATATCTATGCTCAGTTTTTCCATCAGCAATATTCTTTCATGGGAAAATCATGTCAAATACATCGCCGAAGCTACTTCATAAAAACTCGGATTTTTATTCCGTGCGAG